TCTTCTTCTTCTTCTTCTTCTTCTTCTTCTTCTTCTTCTTCTTCTTCTTCTTCTTCTTCTTCTTCTTCCTTGCCTCTATCTCTCTTTCTGAAACTGACTGAGCCCAACTAGTGCCTGTCTTATGTGCAAGGTCTAGGGCCAGTTACTGGAACATGGGAAACCTACCATGAGGTACACCCTCAAAAAATGACTCTTTCTTTTCAAGGTTAGTGAGCCACTCCCCCTGAACTAGAGTGCTGACCAGCTTGATCTCGTGCAGATCTACTGTGACTTTATGAATGCAACAGTCCTGTCATTCCTGCCAGGAATGGTATTGGGCCTCAAGCTCTTTTCGTTTATAATCCTTCTTCTACAATGTTCCCTGAGCCTTGAGCAAGGACAAAGTATGATATAGTCCATGTAGGGCTGAGCACCCGACAGTCGTTAATTCTCTGTGCTTTGACCAGTTGTGAGTTTCTGTGCTAACTGCCATCTACCTTAAGAAGCTTCTCTGATGATGGGTGAAAGTTACATCCATGGGTATAAGAATAGGCATTTAGAAGGCCTATGTCCATTTAGCAAAATAGTAATAGCAATGCTTTCTCCCCTCCAGGACCCTTTACTCTTCCTCTGTGTAGGTCTAACCAGCTTTTTCCTGATCACCATCATTCCCTGGAAGGATCTCATTTTGACAGTCAGTGTGTCTGTGATAAGATGGAGAAACATGAGATAACTTCTAAAGATATACAATTGATTTTCTTTACAAAATACCTTCTTAAGTTATAATTTATATACCATAAAATCCATCCATTTTAAGTAGGAAGTGAAATGAATTTTAGTAAATTTATAGAAATGTGCAGCATCCCTCACATCCACTTTCAGAACATTTCAATTATCAGAGAGAATAATTTAAGGGCACAACACTGTGGATGTGGGCTCACTGGTTGTACTTGAGCACACATTACTGAAAATGGTGGTACCTAGGAAAATCTGTGAGTGTGTTTTGAGTAGTTACTCAATGGTAGGCTTTATTTTTTTTGGGGGGGGATGAAATGAAGCAGAAGAGAGAAGAATCTGTGTGCTTAAGATCTTAAGAAATCATTATCTATTTTGTGGATCACTTCATTAATAAACAGATTATTACAAAAGTAATTATTTTAGAGATGGAAAGTGCCATTAGCCAGTGCTGTGTTGTTGCCTATTGGGACATATAAGAAGTCTTTTTAATTTACTCTTCAAAAATCACTTACACCCACAAAACCACTCCAGTCAATGAAGGAGATGTAGGTCTAGGAAAATCTTCGTCACCATGGTAAAAACAGCTTTACCTTTTTTCCCCTTTTAACTTAATTTATTTATTTCCTGTCAGATTTTCCTCTTCTCCAGAAGTCACCATATGGGCGCAGAGCTTGTTTGATGAGAAGCACCCCAATTTTGAGCCTTTGTGAAAGTGGCCACTGACAGCATGAACAATGCCAGGCCCTCAAGAGTCAGGAGAACATTGAATTGGGGGTACTCGGTGGGTTCTATTGTACACAGTCCTTCTTGGAAACCCAACAGTCAGCTGGGCTTAGTGGTACAGTCTGCAATCTTAGCTATTCAAAAGGTTGAGGCAGGAGGATCAGAAATACAAGGCTAGTACAAGGCTTGTTTGGGCTACAGAACAGGTTCAAGGTCAGTCTGAACAACCTAGGGAGACCTTACTTCAAACTGAAAAGAAAAATGAGGGCTTGGAATGTATCTCAGTGGTAGAGCACTGGTATGGTATACATAAAGTTCTGGATTCAAACCCTAGTGGGAGAGAGGGAGGGATGGATGGATGGAGGGAGGGAAGGACAGAGAGAGGAAGGGAGGGAGAGAAGGTTCAGAAGAACTTTCTTGCTGAGAGTGCTACTCCTCCCTGTCCCTCCTCAGCTTGTTCTGTTGTTGTTAGACTGTGGGCTCATGAAATACGAAACCTCTTCCCAGGTGAAATAGAATCGGTTTTCCTATCAAAGTTGAGAAACAAAACTGAACAAAACACAAACAAAATGCATGGTTTTATGCTGGAAACCCTTCCAATGTCCTGGACTCTTGTCTGTGAGGACATGGAGGGGTGGACATTGTTCTACTGTCTACTTTAATGAGACAGAGACTGGTACCCCAAACTAAACGTGTGTCGTGGACTTAATTCTTTTTAAACCAAAAACTGAACGTATCATACAGTCAAAAGGGTTTACCTTAAAGAGACAGCTTAATGCATTTGTTAAAAGTTGTTTTTTTTAAACAAAAAAAGATTTATTGATTTATTTATTTGTTTACTGTGTATATAGTATTCTGCCTGCATGTAACCTGCGTTCTAGAAGAGGGCACCAGATGTCATTATAGATGGTTGTGAGCCACCATGTGGTTGCTGGGAATTGACCTCAGGACCTTTGGAAGAGCAGCCAGTGCTCTTAACCTCTGGGCCATCTCTCCAGCCTATGTCTAATGTGTTTTTGCACTGTGAACAAACTCACATCAAGGTAGGGAACAAATATAAGCCAAGACTTCTCTGATGTCCTGCCAATTCATCACCTCCACAAGGTCACCAACATCTGTTTTCTATCAGAGCTGATCATTCTTTTTGCTGTATAAAACTAGAATCACACAGTAGGCATTTTGAATCTGACCGTTTTTATTTAATCTCAGTGTCTGGGGAACTCATGATACTATCCCCCAGAACAATTGTTCTTTGTGTAGTTTTCCTGAGACAGGATTTGTATAGTCCTGGCTGTCCTGGAACTCACCTGGTAGGACTTGAACTTGACATAATCCTTCTGCCTCTGCTTCCTGGGTGCTAGAATTTTAAGAGTGTTTCACCAGGCTGGTAGTCGCTTAGTTTTTTATATTATCATGTGTGGTATCCTGTTGTAGAAACATACCTTCCTTCTCTTTCTAGCCATTTGGGCAGTCTGCAGCCTTGTACCTGTTTGGTGGCCTCTTCAACATAGCATTACACAGTCAGTGAACCCACATGGACAATTGCATGAGTTATTTTCCTTGTTGTTGTCGCCAAATAGCTGACAAGGAGCTCCTGAAGGGAGGAGGCAGGGTTCATTTTGACTCACAGTTTAAGACGGGATATAGCCCACCATGGTGGGAAAGGCACATCGGCAGACCACACGAAGTAGCTGGCCCTGTAGTGCCTGCAGGAGAACTAGAGCACATGGAAAGTGGGCCTGGACTGTAAAATCTCAAGATCCGTCCCTAGTCACTCACTTCTTCCAAATAGTCTCGTCTTCTAAAGGTTTTCCAGTCTTCCAAAGCAGTGCCCCAGCTTGGGGCTAGTGTTCCAACTCACGAGCTTAAGAGGCCGTTGAACTTTAAACCTCAACATATCAGAAATGTCCATTTTGCCTAAATTGCACACTCTGTTATCGGCAGAAAGCTGTTCTTAATGCTATTAACTGTTTACTATCTATGCTTCTAGGGACAACGGTTCTTTCGTTATTTTTGTCAATAGTTTCCCTAATCTCTTTTCTAAGTGTTTCTAGGAATTTGTAACTTTTAATGGTTTTTAAAGAACCAAGTTTTGACTATGATGACTTTTTCTGTCTTATGTTGTTTTTCTCGTTCCTTTTCTGTTTATGTATTTATTACTTTATTTCCATTCAATTTTTTTGCCCTTAAATTTGCTGCTCTTTTCCAGTTCCTTGCTTTTCTGTTACTCTTCCCTCCTCCTCCCAGTATATGT